CCAAGGGGTAGCCACTACTGAAACCCCTGGTAAAAGGTTTTATTTGTAGGAACTCTCAGAAGAGTTCCAGGTATTTTCAGAGTGAACTTGGTAGACATGCTTGCAAAAATATTTGTGTATGTGGGGATGCTGTATTTTAAAAACCAGTTGCTTTGTCTAATCAATCAACTTCAGGTGAAATTTGCGGATCTTTCTGTGCTTTTCTGACATTTTAGTTTGGCCGATGGAGATTCTTCAAAACCCTCCTTTACTCAGGTCCCATGTTAAAGTATTAAGTACAAAGGAATGCCTTTCCCAATATTTAATAGCCCTTTCCAAATCAATTGTAATGAAACATTTGTTTTATTTTTGCACCCAGTTTTGATATTTATACAGCAGGGCTGCAGAAGGAGTTTGTTTCACTGTCATTGAGGAATAATTAATTTTGTTTGAATAGTAAGTATGTGAGCAGCAGAGATCAAACATTTCTATCACAGTTAAATGGTCTATGGACAAATCATTCATCATGGTCCTCATCAGATATTTATTAAATGGCTTCATGGAGACTCATAATAACTCTTATTTATTGATGAAAACTATTTAGTTACCTTGTCATACTAATATATCTTTATTCGCCTGTATTATTTATTCTATACATTGCCACCAGAATTACGTAGTTTTTATTTATGGGGTGACTCCCAGCAGTTGAATATCAAAGAGAACAAATACAATGCACTAATTTCAGAGGGTATTTTGGAGTTAAAGAAAAATACTAGCTAAATACTCTAGTTTGTGTTTAAAATAATGATAAATATTTCCAATGAATTAAAACATGAGAAAAAGAAAACTATTAAATTATTAGAGTTATACATATTTTAAAGTTATGGATGTTTATTAAAAGATGAAAAATAATAATGCTATTATTTAGATTCTTTACATCTTAAAGCCTAAAGAAAAAGTTATATTTATTTGGTAAAATATAATATTTATATTAAAGTCATTCTTTGTATCTTGTAGTTTAAAAAACTCTAAAACATTTTATTTTCTACCTCCAAATTAAAATATTTTAAATAGTCTAAATTATTTAATCCAAATTGAGCATTTTGGTTTTTATTTAACCATTTAACGTACTTTTTAAAAATGAATGTTTAGTGACTCAGGTTTATATTAAATGCTTTAAAATATGCTAATAAGTTTAGAATAACAACTGTTCAATATAATAGTTCAAATGATGAGATTTATATTATTGCTACTTTTAAAAGTGAAAGATTATTTAATTAAATCTGGTTGGAAACCACCAGTTGAAGTAGAGAATTAGCACTAACAACACATGTCAGAATTGACATTGACATTAAAGTTTTAGTGGATAAATCAACACCGAACTATGTTCCTGAATATTTTTAAGCAAGTAGTCTTTTCTTTGACTTGGGGTTTTGATAATATAGATCTTCAATTTCACAGAGGTTCTTAAAATTTTAAACTTTGCTCTCAAATAAGGAATATGTTTATCCTTTATCAGTATTTACATTTTATCATTTCTCTTAATATTTCCTGATTATCCTGTGATTGCTTACAGCTACTCATTGAACCTGCCAGGTATTGATATTTTAATGAATTGTGATCATCTGTGTCTACCTTACTATCTCCCTTTTTATAAGGTATATATCCACTTGTTTCTGAGTTTAAGGGTCTAATATTGCTTCAGATTATAACTATCACGGGTCATTTCTGCAAGAGTGTAACTTCAAAATGTTATTTATGGAAAAATTACTTTGAAATTCAAATTACCTTTGACTAATAACATGCTCTAGAAATGATAGTTGATATTTAATCTTACACTGACAATGTAGACGACTATATTTACTCTCTCACCACTACCCAGGCATATCTTTACAATAGGAAGCTACCTTCACATAGTAGAGGAAACAGCCTTTTGAAGCTGCTTCCGTATTTAGAAATTTCATCAAATAATGTTCAAAACTTTAATCATGTCTGAATATTATATTCCTCTTATTTACTGTTTTGATTCGTATCTGGTAGATCATACTTGTGTCCAAGGAGTGGAATGTTAATTTTTCATGGGCAGAGCCTTGAACTAGTTTTTCAGTGAGATGCAATGAATGGGCCCATATCTAGCCAAAGATGGCTCTGATTGACATCTGGACTCATCAAGACTGGATCTGTGAGTTATGTGCTCAGTACAAGGGCAGTGTTTGAGATGAATGGTTCAGTAGTAAACAATCAAAACAAAACACATACAATTGAATAGGAAAATAAAAGAGTTGTGGTACCTGAGGCAGACAGTGAAGCCTATGAGATTAGAGGAAGTGTGTTTGCACTGGCTGCCCTAACTCTGAACTCCCTTCCATTGTCATGACTTAGTCTTGACTGAGGTCACAAGTTTGTTGCCCTAGAACTTGTGCCTAAAAAATTTTCTTTTAGCGTGTTAAGTGAATGAATTGATAGATGCCCAAGGACATTTATTTTTTGTCTGCTTTCCCATGAGTTTTATAACTAGATATGAAATATAGCATGTTGACCTTTTACCTGTTTTAGAGTTACCACCTTTTAAAACTTTCCTACACACATTCAGTTTCCTCATGTCATTTAACAGTTAATTCAAATAGTCAGAAATAGAGTAATTTAATAGCATTTGTATTGATGAAATGTAGTTCCTTAGGACCTATGAAATCCATCTTATTTTGTATTTCATCAAAGACCTTTGTCTTGAGAAGTACATAATGGTACTAAGATTATGAAAGACTTGCAAAATCAGCATGAACTTTTTCTATACAAGCCATTTCCCCAAGTCTCATAATTTCTCTTCTTCCTAAAATCAATATATATCATCAGTATCAACATGGATGAATTCTGTAGGCTATCAGCTCTCAATTATCGCTTTTATGTGTCAATCGCGGAACACTTTTCATCTTTATTTGAATTTCTTTTTAATTTTGGATATTTCTGAGTCATATTTCTATTAACCAAAGCAGATATACAAAACATTAAAATACTTTTTAAATGGGCTGCAATGAAGTTATTTAAAAGGAATTTACTGGAAATTTCTATAGTACAACTTATTTCAACAATTAGGGTGGTAATTAAGGAAACATTTTCCCTTTTTTCACAAAACTTCATAGAATAACTCTAAGCATAGGCTATTGTTTAGTTTGCCTAAGGTTAACTCATAGAATGCAATGAAATAAAGCATTCAAATACATAAGGTAGCAATGGTTTGCATGAGAGAAATGTTTAAATGAAATTTAAGAGCTATTAAAACATTTACATTATTAAATATAGAAAACTTTCATAGACATCCCTAGTCATTGATGGCATTTCTAATTCTGGCCTGTCCTTTGTATAGTGGTGCATCCAATTCCAAAATGGATGAATATTATGCAGCCATCAAAAATGATGAGTTCGTGTCCTTTGTAGGGACATGGATGAACCTGGAAACCATCATTCTCAGCAAACTGACACAAGAACAGAAAACCAAACACCACATGTTCTCACTCATAGGCGGGTGTTGAACAATGAGAACACATGGGCACAGGGAGGGGAGCATCACACACTGGGGGCTGTTGGGGGGAAATAGGGCAGAGACAGGGGGGGGTGGGGAGGTGGGGAGAGATAGCATGGGGAGAAATGCCAGATATAGGTGAAGGGGAGGAAGGCAGCAAATCACACTGCCATGCATGTACCTATGCAACAATCTTGCATGTTCTTCACATGTACCCCAAAACCTAAAATGCAATGAAAAAAAAAAAAGAAAAAGAAAAAAAAAAGATTTGCTATGTGCTCTCAAATTGCCCTCCCAAAAGTTCTACAATTTATGTTTCGATTAACAATATATGGAGGGCCCAATTCCCTCATAGCCTCACTAACAATTGGTGTTATCATTGCTTTTATTATAAACCATTTTTGATTGAATAAGCAAATAATTTTTTTATTAAATAGTGAAACTAAAGTTAAAAAAAAAAAGAATCAATGAAATTTACTCAAATCTTAAACAGTCCTAGAGGCTTCTGACTTGAGTTTCATCCAAAGGCATCCTGAATGGCCATTTAGATTGTAAAGGTAGCTGGGAAGTTTACACTTTTATCAAACCATAAACATTTTCATGTATGTTTTGAGACTATATATGAATTTTAATTGCTCTGGAATGTTTTGAGTTATATTTTGATTTAATAAACATTACACATAGAGACAAAATTGTGGTAAAAATTTAATTTTATACTTTTTTTACTTAGTGACTGAGGGTTTTATGATCTTCATGAAATATAGTAAGCACTGAAGTTGCTAGGAAAAAAAGTAGGAAATAGATCATCCTAGCAATAACTGATTTTTTTCTTTATTGTCAACAAGCTGATTAAAAATACTTAATATGTCAGCTTAGAATTTATTATTTATTTATTTTTTGAGATGGACTTTCACTCTTGTTGCCCAGGCTAGAGTGCAATGGTACAATCAGCTCACTGTAACCTCTGCTTCCCTGGTTAAAGCCACTTTCCTGCCTCAGCCTTCTGAGTAGGTGGGATTATAGGCACCTGCCACCATACCTGGCTATTTTTTTTGTATTTTTAGTAGAGATGGGGTTTCACCATGTTGGCCAGGCTGGTCTTAAACTCCTGACCTCAGGTAATCTGCCTACCTCAGCCTCCCAGTGTGCTGGAATTACAGGCGTAAGCCACCATGCCTGGCCAGAATATATTCATTATATTGGAGGAAAATTATGGTTAATTTCATTACCGCTTTGTATGTACTATAAGCAAGCTAATTTTAGAAATAATCGACAGTCATTTCAGAAACACTTCTATTCAGCATATATAAGTTATACATGTGGAAGTAAAATGCATTTAAGTAACTTTTTAATAAAAAACTAATTTAGGATTTTAATGAAAGGGAAATTGGAAGGAAGACAGTAATGTTAAGTTAAATTTCTTATTTTACATATATATATATATATATATATTTTTTTTTTTTTTTTTTTTTTTTTTTTTTTTTTTTATTTTTACCACTAGCTGACAGTACTATGAATCACACTAATGTTCCTATGGAAACAACTGAATGCATACAAGGTCAAGGAGAAGGCTACAGGGGCACTGTCAATACCATTTGGAATGGAATTCCATGTCAGCATTGGGATTCTCAGTATCCTCACAAGCATGACATGACTCCTGAAAATTATAAATGCAAGTGAGTAAAAGAGGCAAATGTTATACATTTCAGTAGGCCCTAGGGGAAATGAGATACAGTGGTTACTTTTTACTAATTTTGTGTTCGTGATCAAACTTTAGTGTGCCCAGTGATAATAAGGAATTAAAAGGCAGATTATTCCTCTGCTCAGAGATTTTGATTTTTTCGATCTGATATTTGGTCCTCAAATATGCATTTCATTAAGCACTCTAGGTGGTTGGAATCCAGAGGATAGATTCACTATGCTTTGGGAAACACATCCGTAGGTGGTTTCTGATCACAGCTTTGCTCTTGTGAGTCTGTTTAATCGATTAATACTAATGGTAGGCAGGCATGTTTCAAAATACTGCCTTCTTAAATTTTCATATTAGCTTTGGGAGGATTACACATTTTTCCTCTTGAAAGAATGGAAAGAAAAGTAACACTACTGAAGAGTTACTGGCCTTAAAGTTCTGTGAATAAAATAATTTTTCAAAGCTTAAATGAATGTGTTGCATCGTTTCTGGATTTGCTTTGAAAAGTGAAGGAGCAAAACAAAATGTAGATGATGACTCAAGCCAAAGAAACTGCCCTTGAGTATCAATTACATAGCTGTGCATTCTCTATGGGTACTTTTTACACCACTTGACTTTAGTAGACAGACACAGACACAATGCCATGTGTTTTTAAATTGTCCACCTTGTTATGAGGAACATAAAATGATTGCTTTTGAAATTTATAACACATACATCATTTATAGTGGCTTTCCTGAAATAGCACCTATAAATAACATATATTGGCTTTATGTAATTGGTTTTTAATAAGACAGCCTAACATTTCTGAATGAAGAGCTATGAGCACTAGTGGCCATCCACCATAGGAGAGGAGAGATTTGTGCGTGTATGTGTGTGTGCATGCACAAGATTTAGCTAGTTCCATTATTTATTTGTTTAGATAGTAAACATTAATCTAAGACTTTTTTTCCCATTAGTTTATAATAACTAATATTTTTTTCCTATTAGTTTATAAGGATAAAATTAATGGTTGTCATTCTGGGTTTATTTTCATTTCCATCAAATCAATTCACTCTCTATTCCTGACCCATGTGTTTCACACCTGAAAAATACATCAAAGTAGAGAAAACAAAGAAACAGAGAAAATGTTTGTTATAAGGGACAAGGGAGATAGTGTCAGTGCCTTCACATTTTTGTTGACTTTTAATGACTGGTAATACCTGATAAGAAATTGTATATATGCAGATACCTAGTGAAAATCATCTGTAAGAAAAACAGAATGACTGTAAAAATTTAATTCACAAACTTCACAATTAAAATTTAATTATCAAAAGTTATCTGTTATATCTTAGCAGAATTTAAGTCATCTTTTCTTAATTTTGTTATTTGATTTAAATAACCAAATATAAATATTAAGAAACAAAGTTTGTGCTGTGTTTTAAAACTGATAAAATCTGACTCAACTCTTTTCTCAGGACATTGATTTACCATTTACTATTTGTGATCTAGTAGTGAGGGGTGTACTGGTCAGGTGTCTCTACTAAACATTAAACATTAAACATTACTTGCCTAGTACTGAGACCTTACAAATGGCAATCTTTGGATGTAACTGAACAATACTGCCTGTGATGAATCTACATGAATCATAAACTCATCAATTCACCTTAGTAATTGTAAATCAATCCTCCTTCAAGTGAAGGGTAAGGACTTAGTAAAAATATTTGAGCAAATCTTGACTTTCATTCTTGCTTCATCTAGATTATTGATTGAGGTGCTTCTAAAACAGATTTTAAAGTGGGTCCAAACTAGGACTTTGATAGCCCTTGATCTTCCTTTAATTGGCTTGTCTAAATGAACAATCCAAATGATTAAACTGAGTGATTATTTATGTAAAATTGCAAATCTGGCCAGGCATAGTGGCTCACGCCTATAATCCCAGAACTTTGGGAGGATGAGATGGGAGGATGGCTTAAGATCAGGAGTTCAAGACCAGCCTGGGCAACAAAGGGTGACTCCATCTCTACCAAATAATAGACAATAAAACCAAAGTGTGTGCAACATTTATGTAAAATTTAACACACATGTGTTACACTGACATAATTTTTAAAATATAAGTATAAATTGTTTTATTCATCTATTCCATTTAATAATTTTATAAGAAGGCTAAAGGTTTGAATATAGGTTATAAACACTTATTATACAGTGGCTTTAACCACTGGTGGTTAATGTTCTCATATCCTTAAATAATAGTTTGTGTCAGGACCTATTTTGATTAGGTAAGACTATTATTATTTGTTGATTTTCTAACCAAACACAAGCTTTTTCCTTAAAAATTTCTCAGTTTCCAATGGTCTATTTGGATATTAATATAATTGTATAATAGTACTTCTAATTGGACCTAAGTGATACAAATACTGTGGTTTCCAAAAGACTGAATATTCATTTAATTAAATTATTAACAAGGAATCTATGAAATAAAAGAATGTACTTGCTTAAAATTAGAGAGCATATTTAACACATTTTATCACAAAATGCACATTTTATTTAATGTGAACCTTATTTATATTAAAATAGAAAACCATTAAAATTATTTTACATACAGATAATTTTAGCATAGATTTTTTTTCTTATTAGAAACTCTAAACTTCTAATTAAAATACTGGTAAAATGAAGGATATACATGTACTACATTTCAATGTATTCTATAGTTCGTTTCTCTGTAGTATAACAAGGTCTTAACTTTAAGAAATATTGGCCGGGCGCGGTGGCTCAAGCCTGTAATCCCAGCACTTTGGGAGGCCGAGGTGGGTGGATCACGAGGTCAAGAGATCGAGACCATCCTGGTC